TTATCTCTTTCAGAAGTATGACTACAATGCGCCCATTAGTGATTAAGCTCTTAATTATTTTATTTGGTGTTTTCTGGGCTTCCTGAATTTAACTTGGTGTTTTTCAACAAATTTGGAATAGGTTCAACCATTATTTATTCAAATCTGTCCTGCCAAATGTTTCCTTCCCCTGTAAGATCTTAAATACATGAGTCATAGCTTTTGATGTTATCATATTGTTTCCCTTTCAAAATTATTTTTGTTCTTCTCTCAGATTCGATTCTTATTCTTACCCAACCAGAGTCTTTGGGGGCACACAAGCTAGATTTTTACATGTTGCCTTGGAGAAGCAGCAAAAAATAATGGTTGTAATTAAGAAAAGAGCACATAAAAATGTGGAACAGGGCAATACTTTTTTAGTGCTAATGTCTGGTTTTATCCTCCACTTTACACTCATTAATTACCAGGAAACAAAATGTTCAGATTAGTAAATTTGGTTCATGAGATGACGCAGACACAGATCAGTCATCCTTGTATTCTCCTTAAAACTGGCTGCCTGCAAAGAATATACTTTCTGTTCTGCTCCAATAATAGCAAATTTTTAAAGGGCACCGTCTTCCTCTGAATTTAGTACTGAAATGAGTACTGTTTAACCCTGGGATCCAGAATAACAAGCCCATTGAGTTCAACACCTAATGTACATTCTCAGAAAGTGAGACACAGGGAAAACTACCATTTTGGTCTTTATGTCCCTGATTTTTCCATGACTCTTCCTCTTAATATTGTGTGATAGATAAGTAGATAAAGAGATAAGTCACCAGTGGTTTAGGTGGATCCTGTAACCCAAGCTCACTTTACCAAGTAATTCTCATGGCTTATCATGGGTATATAAGAAACTTTAGGCATCTTATTATACATGTGTTGAGATACACGTTTTGGGAGCAAATTGGGAGATGTTCCATATCAGAATATATTAAGCAGCTTCTCTCTTACTTTTCTCCATTCTCCACAGTATGTGGACACAGTATGCGTATGTGTGGATGGGATACTCCAACATTGGAAGGAAAAGGGCATTTCAGTCTCTTCTTTTCCTGGGCTCCTGTAGGTTCCCCAAATTTAGAAGCTGAACAAGTTTGTTTCCCAAGCCTTGACAATGCTTTTCAAAATGTCTTCAATTCCAAAAGAGACAGTGTGATGCGTTGGTATTGGGTGAGAAGACTGGGGCTCTTGACCTGGGAGACAGAACAGTAATGGCAGCCCAACTTCAAAAATGGAAATACATGTCCAGAAAAAACTTACTCCTTCTTAGAGTCTATATATGATGTGTATTGAATTTCTCAAAAACCATTTTTTAATGTCTTATTATTTATTTTTGAGAGAAAGAGAGACAGAGCACAAGCAAGGAAGAGGCAGAGAAAGTGGGAGATACAGAATCTGAAGCAGGCTCCAGGCTCTGAGCTGTCAGCACAGAACCTGACGTGGGGCTGGAACCCATGAACCATGAGGTCATGACCTGAGCCAAAGTCGGACACCCAGCCGGCTGAGCCACTCAGGTGCCCCTCCCCAAAACCATTTTTTAAAGTGGAAATGTCTTTGATATATATGATCAAACTCCTAAGTCAGATTATATTTCTGACACCTAGCTAAATAACTATATGGTAACAATAGAGCTTTGAATGTATGCAAGGAAGAAGTCAATTTTAGAGCTTGGGTTTTCTTGGAAATTGGCCTTTATGAAATATTTGGAAAAGCAAAATATAAAGATATCACATATAGTAAGAACTTAATGTGGTGAGTCTATGTTTTAGGAAGATTTAGGCATTCTATAATTTATTCCTCAGATCAGCCTTTTGAGGTGGCTTCATATATGGCTACCATGTCACAGGTGATGGAACTGAAGCATCAAGTTTTTAAGTAAAAATGACCAAGATTTAGTGAACAGTTATGTGTCAAAAGGTGCTCTTCCAATAATCTTCAAGCAACTCTATGCATACGACACTATTTGCATCCTATTTTATGGGAAAGTGAGACAGATCAGTTATATAACTGAGTCACAGAGCTAAGAGTATGCATTCAGAATTCCACTGAAACGACTTGGTTTCGTTGTTGATGTTTTTAAACTTTATACCTTACTGCTTATTCCACATTTGATCAAGGCCCCTGGTGAAAGCATCTGCATGAGGATGTCTACCACTATGCAAACCCACCTTACAAGATTTGTTGGCACAGAGAAAGAAAACCCTAGATGGAAGGTAGGAAAGTCCTACATTGTGTTTGCATTTCTCATGTCTGTTTTTTACAAAGACATCTGGCTCATGAAACACAATGAGAAAAACATTCCTAGGGTTGTTATGGGAAATTAGGTTATTTCTCAGTGAGCCTACATTTCCTCTACGTGACCATTGTGAAAACAGTATATTTTGCAGACAATTAATCAGAGGTTTGGCCATAGGACTGGTTTTTCACAATAGATTGTGAGTGGGAGAGTGACAACGTATGAGTTCAGAGTGTAGGCATTAAGAAGCACATTTCTGCTGGCCCCTCTCATAACTGCTAATCTCTGCTTTAAAAGGTCATCTACCACATAGCCCACTGTTCTAAGAACAAAAAATACAAAAAGCATCTGAGCTGCATCTGTGGTTTACAGCCAAGTCCATGCAACCCAAACCCCATCAACTGAAACACAGCCAAGCCACAAACGAGTGAATGAAAAATAAATGCTTATTTTTATATGCCAATGCGATTTGCATTGTTCATAACACAGCTTTAGCCATTAGTACATCTGTCATTTACATATTATATAAAATTAATTTTGAATATTCTTCTGTTTCCTCTACATGAAGATAGGAAATAAATATAAAGAACATGTTTATAGGGGCACCTGAGTGTCTCAGTCAGTTGAGCGACTGACTTCGACTCAGGTCATGATCTCATGGTTCGTGGGTTCAAGCCCCACATTGGGCTCTGTGCTGGCAGCTAGCTCAGAGCCTGGGGCCTGTCTCCAAATTCTGTGTCTCCTTCTCTCTCTGACCCTTCCCTGCTCATGCTGTCTCTATCTCTTTATCAAAAATAAACAGAACATTAAAGAAAAAGAGGGGCACCTGGGTGGCTCAGTCATTAAGCCTCCGACTTCAGCTCAGGTCATGATATCATGGCTTGTGGGTTCGAGCCCTGCGTCGGGCTCTGTGCTGACAGCTAGCTCAGAGCCTGGAGCCTGTTTCAGATTCTGTGCCTCCCTCTCTCTGACCCTCCCCTGCTCACGCTGTCTCTGTCATAAATAAATAAAACATTAAAAAATTTAAAAAAAAAGAACATGTTTATATTCAAAGAGATAAATGTGTATGGAATATGAATTTATTTTGCAAATAATAATTGAGTTTAATCTCTTTTAATTGAATCAAGATAGAAAAATCTCTGAATCATTTTCAGATTGCTAAAGCTTGTCCTGAATTCTGACAATAACTAGCTGTTTTATCCACACAAATATCTGCACATCTTACAACCTTGGTTTTTTTTTTTCATTATTTACCATTTTATTTTTCACACCAAGTATTTTTCTAAACTTCTAATAAATAGTGACAGAAGTGAGGACATGGAATTTAATGCTATAAGATCTCTTCCACTAGAACTGAAATCCAGGCGAGGAAAACAAAGAATAAGGAAACGTACCAAAGGACACTGGTTATTATTCAATGACATTCCAATCTACCAAAAAGTGAACTCAATCTTTGATACCGTTACACTAAAACAGATTCTTAAGGTACAGTTTGGTTCCATTCTCTGAGGAAGTGAGCAGATCTGAATGGCTCTTATATAGCAACCCTGTGATTGTTGCATAATACCCTAGTGCCTGATATCAATACTCCCAGCTCCAAATCTATCCCTGAGTGCTCTGTTCTCAGATAATGGAGCTAGATCTTATCAACTTGTCTCCCCTGTCAGCTCCCAGGAAGTTGACTTCTGTCAGTAAAAGGCAATGGAGAGACAGTGCAGCAGAAAGGGCTCTTCTTCCTGGTTTCATGGTGTTTTCACTCCTTTGGCCGCTACGGCTTGGTTGCCAGGTGCATGCTTGCAGGAAGTCCTGTGTATTCAGCCTCCACAAGTGTCTGTGGCCAGTGCCAGTTAAAGTTTCCTCTCCTCCAGCCTCCACCTGCTAACACTCTGGCAGGGGGTTCTTTCTGCCTGCCAGTCATGGTCTGAGATCCACCCTCACCAAGTTCAGTCTGTGGACAATGGAGCTGCTCTGTCCCAGACCAATCCAGTAAGCATGTGTGCCATGAGGCTGTGTGTCCCCCACACCGTCTTCAAAGACATCTAAATCCCATGTTCAGAGAGTAGACCTGGCTTCCCAGTGACCCCTTCTTTGGGTTCTCTCCTTTAACCCTAAGGTATTAGTATCATTTTGTTTCATCCCCTTATGCCAGGCTTTCCCAAAGAGTTAATAATTCTTTATATCAAACTTCTCCTGGTTTCAACACTGACTGATAACCTTTTCACCCTGGGTTGTTCAACCTTCATATCCAGCCCTTTTAGGGCTAAAACAAAACAATTAATTTGGAAATATGAGTGGACGTGTTCACCTTACTAAGGGCTTTATAATAACAGTGCTTGATGTTATCATGTATAATTCCTATACAACTGATTTTAATCAATAGCAACAGTTTAAGAAATGGCTGTTATGTTCCAGAGTATGTATTTTGTATCAATATAAAGAAAGATTTAGAAATAGTTCTACAACACTAAGGGTCAAACCTCAGGTACCCTTTGGACTTTGGGTGATTATGATCTATCAATGCAGATTAATCCTTGGTAACAAATAGAGCATTCTAGGGAGTAGCCATGCACATGTGCATACCAGAGGGTTATGAGAAATATCTATACCATTCTCTTAATTTTGTTGTGAATCCAAAATTGTTATAAAAAATAAAATCTAAACAAAAGAACTCTAAGAAAATAATCATATGGCTTGAAGAAATGAGAAATATGTTCTTTATAGATGGTGAAGCTGCATTCTACCAAATTTAGGTATGTTGAAGTGCACAGTGCTTACAAACATATGTTTTTGTTTCTAAGCAGGATTCAAGAAGAAATTTTTTGGCATGAGTATACAAAAATGGACACTTGTTGTCCCACTCTGAAGATACTGACAACCTGAAATACAGAAAATAATATCTAATTAATCTTGGTAACATGTAATTTAAAATCTTAATGAACAAGCAATTCATTTGGACTCATAGTTACATATCTAAATCTGAAGATTTTCCATATTAATTTTCTATGGAAACACTTCATCAGTTATGTTTATAAAGTTGTTCCATTAAAGCTGTTTTTTTTTTTCTATGACAAATTCTTTGAGGCATAAAATAAAGGAGTTGTCAAGAAACTTACGGTTTGGAAAATAAAGTTAAGCTTATGGGAGACACCCATGAATTATTATTGCTTCTCTGGGAGACTCTACACCATGAAGAATGAATGAGGAATTTCAACATATACTACGAGAAAACAAATTTTATTAGAAGTCACATAAAAGCTCTTATACTCATTTGAATTTTATGGTAACAAATAAAAGTAATTCTTTGTTACTTTGTAGACTCTTTCAAATTGTAATATAATGCTACACACTGAACACATTATATCTTAGTAGGATTAAGTGAAGAAGAAATACTGACATGGATAAGAATTTTGGGTTCTGATAATTGACCTGAGGTAAATAACTTGTGAAATGTTTATTACTTTAAAAACTCTTAGAGATTCAAGCAAGAAATACATTTGTAATCTCCTTGTCTAGGTCTGTTTCCATGCCTCTCCACCTACCCACCCTAGCGCAGTGATCCAAAAGAATTGTAGTATTTACATCTCTCCCTTTCTCTCTCCCAATTTTGTGTTCTAAATCTCTCTCTCTCTCTCTCACACACACACACACGCACACACACACACACTAAATCTACTTTAAAAAAAAATGGACTAAACAAAGGGCACCTGGGTGTCTCAGTCAGTTAATCCTCCGACCTTAGCTCAGGTCATGATCTCACAGTTCATGAGTTCTAGCCCTATGTAAGGCTCTGTGTTGACAGCTTGGGTCCTGGAGCCTGCTTCAGATTCTGTGTCTCCTCTCTCTGCCTCTCCTCTGCTCATGCTCTGTCTCTCTGTCTCAAAAATAAATGAACATTAAAAGTTTATAATAAAATTTTTAAATAAAATATTCTAATAATTTTTAAATGGACTAAACACATAAACATAAGATGTAAAACTATCAAGTTCCTTGGAGAAAATATGGGGGGGAAGTAAATGAAATTTTATTTGGCAATGACTTCTTGGATATGATACCAAAAGCACAGACTACAAAGGAAAAGACCATTGTAGACAAATGGGCTACATCAAATTAAAACATTTCTGTGCATCAAAGGACATGATCCACAGAACAAAAGACAGGGTGGAAAAATGCTTGCAAATAATTTATCAAAACAAAGATTTATATCCAAAATATGTAAGGAATATTATGTCACTAATAAAAACAAAAACCAAATAATCCAAATAAGAAATGGGCAAAGGAATTGAATAGACATTGGAAAACATACAAATGGTCAAAAGCGTATGAAAAGATGCTCAATACCACTAATTATCAGAGAAATTCATCAAATCCACAATAAGTTATCACTTCATACTTATTAGCATGGATACTATTTAGAAAAAAAGAAGTATCAGTGAAGAGATGGAGAAAGAGAACCCTGGCACATTGTCGTTGGGAAAGTAAATTGGTCAGCCATTATGAAAAACAAAATGGAGCTCCCTCAAAAACTTAAAAATAGAATTGCCATATGAATCAGCAATCCACGTGTAGGAAAATTTCTAAAAGAATTGAAATCAAGATCTCAAAGAGTTATCTGCACACCCATCTCACGGCAGCATTATTCACAAGAGCCAACTGATAGAAGCAGCCCAAATGTCCACTGATGGATGAGTGGAGACAGAAAGCACAGTATACACATAACTGTGTAATATTATTCAGGCTTCAAATGGAAGGAAATCCTATCACCTGCTACCATATGGATGAAACTCCAGGACATTGTTCTAAGTGAAATAAGCCAGTCGCACACACAGAACAATATGATTCCACTTATATGAAGTATCGAAAGCAGTCAAACAGGTAGAAACAGCAAGTAGAATGGTGAGTGCTAAGGCTTCAGGGGAAAGTGGAGAAGGCCATTCCGTTCACTGAGTATGGAGTTCCAGTTTTGCAAGGTGAAAGTTCTAGAGATTTGTTGGGCAACCCTGTGAATACAGTGAGCGCTCGTGGACTGTATGCCTAGAGTTGGCTAAGATGCATGAAATCGTTGCAGTGTAGCAGGTGAGATGTGAGATGTGTGATTCCATCTCTATGATAGCCTGGAAAAAATAAAACTATGGAAACATAAAAAGATAGTGGTTTCCAGAGTTTAGCAAGAAGGGAAAGATTAATAGGTAGAGGACAGAGGATTTTTAGGGCAGTGAAACTATATTATATAAATATATAATGGATGATATATGTCTTTATACATTTCTCCAAACTCATAAGATGCACATAATCAAGAATACACCTAGTTTACACTATGGTCTTTCAGAGATAAAGATGTCTCGTGTACTTGCTTCAGTTGTGGCAAATGCACCCCTGTGGTAAGAGATATTAATAATAGGAGAGTCTACACATGTGTAGACAGCAGGGGGATATGGTAAACCTGTGTGCCTTGTTTCAGTTTTGATATGAACCTAAAATTGCTCTCAGAAATAAAGTTTCTTTTTTAAATAAATGGGTAATATGATAAGTTTTCTATTAATTTTTCCCACAGTTAAAAAATTAAAAAAGCAAGCAAACAAAAAGAGGGGGTCTTGAACGCAACATGAGACAAACTTACTCATTACACTTAATTACAACTAATAATATGATTAACAGAGAAGTTCTCACCAGAAACTATGAAGCATAAAAACAGGGAAGGTCAAAACCAAAGAGCTGAAAGTACTGAAAGAAGAAAACAAAGAACAAAACACAAACCAAAACCCCTCACAAGAGAAAACAAAACCCACAACAAAGTAAAACAACAAAAAAACCTTGTCACACACAAGTTCCAAATTCATCAAAACAGTCTTTCAAAAAAGAAGGTGCGTGAGGAGCTAACAGAATTTCTTCTTAGCAGATCTGTTCTCCAAAAATGTTTTTCAAGCTAAAAGAAACAAGGGATGGTGTCCACAGGAAGGAATAAAGATCAATAGAAATGGTAAATATGTGGGTAAATTTAAGAGTCTCTGTGTGTGCTTGCTTCTCTTAATTTTTTAAAAGGTAACATTTTTAAAGCTATCATTATAACACTGCACGATTGGGTCTATACCATGTATGGATACAACCTTGTGCTGGTAATTGAGCACATTGGAGAGGAAAGAAAACCTTATTCGGTTTGCATTTGTTGATTTTTGTGGTGCAAAGCCACTGTGAATGGTTCATTTCAAGTCACCAATGTGAAATCACGAGCATAGTGTTGAAAAAGATACACATACTTAGTGTTCAGAAACCAGTACTAGCTGGCTTCAGCACGTCCTAGAAATACATGCAGGTTTCCCTTCCTATCTGGAAGTAGAGCACTTTAATGATATCATTTGTAAGCTGAAATGGCATAAATTGAATAAGCTGTTATCATTACAGTATATGCAAAATTTTCAAGCATTCCCAGACTGCCACCTAGGGCACCGGCCCCAGGCTACTACACGCTGCCTCTGGCCACAAGCATCACTGAACCTTGTAATCCCAGAATCTGTCACTGGTGCACTTTCTTCCCCAGCCAGAGTCACGGTGATTATCCCCTGAGATGCAAGTACAGTATCCATGCGCTATCAGCACGTCTCCACCCTAGACAGTCCCATAGTGACAACAAGTGAAATTGTCCCTGGGACCCCACACTGTGGAAGTTCTATGTGCACCTGACCCTAGCACTATAGCTCCAATACCGCCTTGAGGGGTTTGAGTGCCAGCATGCCACGAAGGGTGACCTCACTTAAACCTTCTCCCATGCACAAGCCAAGAGGGAGTAAATTTTTTTTTTTTTTTTGCTTTTTGCTTTTTTTTTAAAATTGTAGTATAGTTAACATACTATAGTGTTTTATTAGTTTCAGGTATATAATAAAGTGATTCAACATTTCTATACGTTACTCATTGCTCATCATGGTAAGTATAGTCTTAGTCTCTTTCACTTATTTCACCCATCCCCCAACCACTTCCTTTCTAGTAACCATCAGTTTGTTCTCCATAATTAAGAGGCTGTTTGTGGTTTGTGTCTCTTTTCATGATTCATTTGTTTTGTTTCTTAAATTCCACATATATGTGATCATATGGTCTTTGTCTTTCTCTGCCTGTCTGATTTTACTTAGCATTATATCCATCCAAGTTATTTCAAATAACAGTATTCATTACTTTTTATGCCTGAGAAATATTCCATTGCAATAAACATATTGCTATGGTGTCTATATCTTTTCAAATTAGTGTTTTTACATTCTTTGGAAAAATATTCAGTAGCAGAATTATAGGTAATAACTTTTAATTTTTAAAGGAAAAAACAACATTGTTTCCACAGTAGGCTGCATCAGTTTGCATTCACAATCGTACACAAGAATTTGTTTTTCTCCGGGGCGCCTGGGTGGCTTAGTCGGTTAAGCGTCCGACTTTCGCTTAGGTCATGATCTCGCGGTTCGTGGGTTCGAGACCCGCGTCGGGCTCTGTGCTGACTGCCAGCTCAGAGCCTGGAGCCTGTTTCGGAGTCTGTGTCTCCCTCTCTCTCTGACCTTCCCCTGCTCACGCTGTCTCTCTCTCTCTCCTAGAACTGAATAAAACATTAAAAAAAAAAATTTGTTTTTCTCCACATCTTTGCCAACACTTGCTGTTTCTTGTGTTTTTTTATTTTAGCCATTTTGACAGATGTGAGGTGATATCTCATTGTAGTTGTGATTTGCATCTCCCTGATGATCAGTGATGTCGAACATCTTTTCATGTCTCTGTTGGCCATCTGTATTTCTTCTTTGAAGAAATATCTGTTCATGTCTTCTGCCCATATTTTAATTGGGTATTTGGGTTTTGGCTTTTTGGTTTTTTGTTTTCTTTTCTTTTCTTTTTTTTTGGCTTTGAGTTGTATATGTTCTTTATATATTTTGGATACTAACCAGCCCTACATTAGAATGTCATTTGCAAATATCTTCTTCCATTATAGTATGCTGTGTTTTAACTTGGTTCTTTCCTTTGTTATGCAAAAGCTTTTTATTCTGATGTAATCCAAACAGCTTACTTTGGTTCTGGAGACATTTACAAAAATGATGCTGTGGGCAATATCATTGAAATTAATGTCTCTGCTCTCTTCTAGGATTTTTATGGTTTCAGGTCTCACAGGTAGGTCCTCAATCTATTTGGAGTTTATTTTTCTGCATGGTGCAAGAAAGTGGGCCAGTTGCATTGTTTTCCATGGAGCTGTCAAGT